AATAATATTACTTGGGGTATTACGCCCAAAACCACGATCTCGTTGCGAGAGACGCCGATGTGGTAAGAAAAGCAGCGAAAGATTCTAAATAAACAAGAAAATGCTGATTCTTGCTTTCATTTCCTGTAATTTTTAAGTTCCATTAACAGCTGCATAGGGTTAATATTTATGCCAGTGTTGAACCTCCCACACAATTTCCGCGCGATAATGAAGGAGATGGCCCGCTTACAAACTATAATGAAGACAGTCTCATCAAAGCAATGAAGAAAATGCCTCATTGAAATCGCTTTGTTGTTCTTATCCCGTATGAAATATAGCGTTACATTTGCGCAATACAAAATATCCTCGATCCCCATGAATAAACGTTGAGGCGATGTCCAGCTATTAGGGCTTTTCATAACTGCGAGGAATGTAACACGTCATCGGCAATGAAGCATAGTTGGTGCCAACAAGCTTGCCAATTGTGCCTTTAATGTGTGATGTCCTGTGCTGCTTGTTTGTGAGACTTTCTCTTACTGATTGACATTGATTCGGTAGTGGGGTTTAATGTCCTAAATCCACCATATGTTTGTGAGAGACGCCGTAGTGAAGGGCTCTGGAAATTTTGACCACCTGGGGTTCTTTAACCTGCACACAAATCGGAGCACCCAAATCTGAGCACACGGGCATATAACATTTCCGCCTCAATCGCAAATGCAGCCGCCGCAGCCGGGATTCAAACCCGCGACCTACGGGGCAGCAGCTGAGTAATTTAGCCACTAGATCACCACGGCAGGGCACAACTTCTCTTACCACAAATTCACATTTTTTAAAGACAAGGTTATAGGTCGGGTCACTTTCTTTCCTTGGTTACTGCGTGCGGCACACAAAATAAAATTAACTAAGCGGATATACGCAGAAGAACCAGTACGCGCAGCGCAGAAATTTACAAAATTTTCGCGTGTCAGCAGTTTGACCGAAACAATCGCTGACTGGAAGGAAGCTTTTTGCTTCGGGAAAAGTCATAGTCGTATTATTTGGCGCTTGGTGTTACTTTCGTAAAGGCGGACACACACATTGCAGGCGTAATTGCCCCTGTGTCTTTTTGTTTGGGGGGGGGGGGGGTACCTGCTATGTGTTAGCCTTTTAGCAGCCATCGCATTTTTCAGCTAGTTAAGTATTTACAGCTTGCTAAAATGTGTACATTAATACAATCTATGATATCACCACAGCAATTCTGTATTAAAATAAACACTACCCCGCACCAAGGTAACAGTGACATAATGCTCCTAGTACCCCTGTTCAGCGGTAAATCTAATTTCATTTACAGCGATTGCCATTCGAATGTAATGTCATTTGTTGGCTGTCACACGGGGAAACTAATCCAATTTGATGAAAATGACGTTTTCTGTTGAATGAGTTGCCGGGACACATTCCCCTTTAATTTGGGACCGAGTGTGTACTCTCGATGCCAGGGACATTTAGAGAGATGGCTGTTAACTTACGTATACGTAACTTTTATCATTTAAATATATATTATTCCTTACTAGATAAACCTATTACTGGCTTGATGACATAATATAAAGTGCAAAGTTTATGAAAAAAAAATCTACTCTCAACAACAGTGGCTGGAACGCCGGATATGTTTCATTTATAGTCTGGTGTCGTTGATGCCTGTATTGGGGATGTTGATCGTTCGATTGTACTCGTCGTAAGGACCAAAGTGGTGAGTACACGAGATCGCTGCCGCCTTCTCATTTCAGCTGCCAGTAAGTCAGTCGTGTACACTGATGCAGTTCACTCCACTCACAACTGTTCATATTGTCGGCCATGTTGCTTTTCGTGTGTGTCGTGCAGCTGTGGCAAGTTGTGTGAAGTGACCACGTTCATGTCCTTGTACCACCTTTTTACGCATAATTTTTCGTGGGTACAGGCATGTCACACGCAAGTTTAATATATTTTTATTTCTGCCGAATGGACTGCACATGAGGGCTAAGTTCATGTTCATCATTTCAAAATGACATTTGTTTGGTCGTGCGACAGCACGCAGGTAAAATGGCATTGGGTTCAATTAATGCCATTTGTTGTAAACGACATAAGGTTTACCGAGTGACAGGGGTATTAGGCCGTGTTTTTTAAAAGCGAAGCTCCTTAAGGCGTCACCCGATCTTCCTCTGTAGTATCTACCTCTCTCGGGTATGTGCCACTTCCAGAAATACGCTAAAGTGTGATCAACCTGTTTTGTAGCTATACCAATGCCCATTCACACCTTTTTGAAAACTTCGAAGTCTATGCAAAGGTATTCACGGATGCTTCAGTACGCAGCGATGGCCTGAACGCTTCTGCAGCTTTCTTCTGCCCTTAAATCAATATCCGGCGGTTGTTTTAAATACCGCACCCCTCATCGTCAGTGATGGCCGAGTTAGTAGCGATTGATGTCGCCCTTAAGTACGTACAAGAAAGGTTACCAGCAGTCGAATGCTGTCACCCTCACCGACTCTCGCGGTGCCCTTAGCCAACCCACCAGCAAGGAGACCGACAGCCATATTCTAAGCAGCATCATGGAATTCATCAACAATATTCTGTCACGTGGGGCTATGTCCTAGCTGTACAGTGGGTACCTTCGCACGTGGGCATTGCGGGCAATGAAGAAGCGATCGCTTTGCTTCGTTATGCTACCATGATGGCTGTGATTGTCCGGGAATTCTGTGTACGATGGACAACGCTCGTCTGCTTATACGCCAACACCTTCTAAAGCAGCACCCATACCAGCGTGTGGTGAATGAATTGTCCCCCCCCCCCCCTCCGTGTTCGTGGCCGTAGCTTGCCTTGTCGTTCCCGAGCGCTGTTGTACAAACTGAGAGTGGGCTCTGTGCTGATGCGTGAACGATTACACCGTCAAGGGCGTGTGGACAGTCCGTTGTGCGCAGATTTTTGCTCCTGCGAAACACTTGAGCCTCTCATAGTGCAGTATCCCACATTTGCTACGTAGCGGTCTTTGCTGATTAAGGAATATTCACTTCCTAAGACATAAGCGCGCCACCCTAGGCGACTACCTCTTCCCGAGTGGTTGTGCTTCCCGACGCGACCGAGCCCACCGAGCTCTCCTTACATTCATCAACCAAACGAACCTGACCTGGCCACCCATTTATAGACGGTATTTTTCTATTATTTCATTTGTTTTTATACTCATACTCGTCGAAATCTTCGTCATTTTTTCCTTCCTCATCGTCATTCCTCTTTCTCCCTTCTAATCTTTGTTTCCTCTGTTTCTTCTTTTCTCCCGAAAGAGTAAGCAGGCGTTGTGCCCCTCCAGGTGGCAGTTGTCAGCTTGCTCTCTCCCGCTTTCCTCTGTGTCCTTTTGTATATATGCATGCAAATCAAATAAATAAATAAATTAAAAAATATTGTGCCACTGGAAAGTTTACCTCTTGGAATGTCCGCTTGATGGCAGTACTTTTATATAATCAATATATGATGAAAATGATTCGAGCTGGTGGTACTTGGATTGTTCACTAGACGGATGGACATACAGACAGACAGGCAGACAGACACAAAGATGGACAGATCGACCCATTATTGGACCGGACGGATGGATGCACGAATGGACGGAAGGACGCTTCTTCCCACTCACCGTCATTAGGTTCGTGGATATGCTGATATGCTGCAACTTTTCGCTGTGTTGTTCTTCAGTAAAATATACCCTAGAATACCTCTTGATCTGTGAACTTGACAGTTTCCTAAACCGAACAAACATAGTTGATATAAGTCGGTGTGAAGCATCTATGTCTTGTCTTCGAGGCATATCAAACTCCTCTGAGATATTGTCTGAAATGCAGAAGAGCAGTTACTTCATATAGAGACGGAAACACGAGACGCACTGGGATGTTTCCGCTAAGCTAGATAACTTTACAAATTATTTTTATTAATTTATTTTCAACATTTCTTTTTCAGATTTCAGAACTACCTGCGGTGAGTTTGCTAGACGTTTACGCTTAGAACCGTTTCAATGGAGACACAAATTTCATGACATTCAACCCGCAATGACGGCAATACAAATGAGTGCTCTCACTGATTTCTTGTTCCAGCGCACAATACGGCGTCTTGTTACGAAACATAAAATGAAGCATTACTAAATTTTCCAAACACGTTAAAGGTCCCACAATATTAAAACCATGCCTTGTTCAGCATATTTTTTCCCTCTTAGAATACTTCTGTCAACGCACCAGCTATAAGTGATACACCTCAATATGCGCCACAACGCAATTATTTAGGATCCTTCAGTGAGCATTTCATTAGCTGAACAGACATTCCAAGAAGTCGTGCACAGGTAATTGGAGTTACTAGCTCAATAGCTGCAGTAATTATACCTGTCACAGATACAGTTCAAATTTATTTCCAAAATACAAGGGTTCTGGAAGTACCATTGGCTAAAAGCTGTTCGAGAAACAGCTTCAATCTGCCCATGGTGCTTTTTAAAAGTTCTGCGTCACCTACAAAAATAATCAAGTCAATATTGCTGTCCCTGTACATGTACTACTCAGTTATGATTTGGCAGAGAAATTATTGCCACAGTAATAAATATGCTCATGCACTGTGCTCACATCAAGCATGCTTTCTTCACTTGGCTAGACAAGATGACTGGTACGCAAAAGCCTTAATTAATTGATAAAAAACTCCGATGATTACGTGGAGCCATTTAGAGGTTTTGTTGCCTGTTCGATTGCAGAAGAGCCAAGTACCGATGCATTAAACACTAGCACACGCGCGGGTGTTCTTTGACATTCACCATCAAACTTTCGACGTTATTTGGTGGCTGTAATAAATTAAAATGCGTCATAAAAACGACTTTCAAAGGTGCGTAATTAGAGCCGTTCCATTATTTTGCAAGAGAAGTATTGTTGCAATTACTACTAACACCGCAGATAACGGTTAGAGAAAAGTTGAAGGTATCGATTCGCAGAGCTCGAGACGCGTCGACCTATGTGCGAGGTGATAGAGAAGCAACACACGAAACTTACCTGCGGAAGACTGAGCAATGCACTGAACATCCACGCAGCCAAAGTAAGCCTCTTGGAGCGAAGGCGGTTTCGGGCACGCTCCATGGGGTACCGTAGCGCCAGCAGCTGGTCATAGCCTATGACCACTAGGATGAAGGTGGACAAATACAGCGAGAACATTTGCATGTACTTGAAGAGCTTGCACAGGGGATCACCACCCAACCACTGCACCGTCACCGTCCAAGCCGCTTCTGCAAGCACACACCACGCGGTCACCATGAGGTCGGCCACGGAAAGGTGTGCCAACAGCAGATAGAGCGAGGACCGACGAGCTCGGCTCATGAACCAGATTGAGAGCAAAGTGGCCGAGTTGCCAAACAGGGATACTCCAGCGATCAGCACCAGCACCAGGGCCCGCACAACAGCGGCTCGTGTAAGCTGAGGAGCAGTCTCAGCAGGCACCGACACGGTCCAGTTTCCATCATCGGACAACATGTTCGCGGTAGTAGAATTGGCATTGGCTCCCATTTCCTCCACAACCGATAGGCACGTGGCGTTTGCCGCGCACAGGCTGACAGCCGGTAAGGCGGTCAGAGCCATCGCTGATGCTAGGCAGTATAGCACACGAAGACAAGTGACAGGAACAGGAGGAGTAGCGTGAGCAAAGTATACGACACGCCACGTGCACGTGTACTGCGCAAGAGAGGGATTGCTCCGCGTGCCAGAACACGTTTACCTACGCTCCTGTGCCAGCCGCGCACGCCCCTCTGATCGCATACCGCGAGTGACGATCTCAAGCCGACCCGAGTTTCCGAGAGGCGACGGTTTCAGCGGCTGGTGGCCAGATGGCGCCAGCGAGAATCGATGACTAGCTTCCAATGGGCGAAGTGGCAGTTTGCGCCTCGTCTCTTCACAGCGCTCCCTCTCAGGGTGCCAAAAGCGCCACGGTGGACTGCGTGTATGTTGCTTGAGATTCTTACTGTGGCAATAGAACAGTGACTTGTGGAATCTACAGTACGGTCATACCTGTTCCGTAGGCGCCAGCGCAGCGTGGATGCCCTCCACTTTGTCCCTTTCACTTTCCCTAATTTTTCATCGCCAAAGTCATGCTAGCAATGTTCCAGGTTTTTTTAATCTATTCGTAACTATCCAATTTAAATAATTCGTTTATTTGCAGAAACATTGATATCATGTTCATTTTTGGAGAGATAGTACTAGGCACAAAGTCACATAGTCATATTATGAATAAATATGAAGTGCGCATTGTGAATGTGCACTTTGCGGCGCATTCACAATGCACATAGTTTCATGCGCATTCATGGTCACATGCAGGCATTTAACTTATCATCATATCCTCGAGCTCTTGAATATTGGAAAGATCTTCCGGATCTAGTTCCATATCTAACCGTGAAACTTTTCGCGATAACCTGATTTGTTGCACTCTAATATTGTATAACTCTGTTGCACCTTGATTTCTGTCATCTTATATATATATATATATATATATATATATATATATATATATATATATATATATATATATATATATATATATATATATATATATATATATATATTCGTCTGTTTTTCTCTTTTATACTTATTTCCTTTGTATACTGATGCCCCTCTTACTCGATGCCCTTCAGTGGGCCTGTAAGGTATTCTCAATAAATAAATAAATATATAAATAAATAAATGTGAGTACGACGTCTATTTAAGGAAGAGAAATGTTGCCCACTACGCTTCGTTTATAATTTTCGCAATATATCATCTATGACGAGTACTAATTCACGATCAAATGAAACCAGCGTTTAATCTTCGTTCAAGTTCCCAAAGGTTACGCTGGAGTAGACGCTGAATACGAAAAGGCCGTTCGCCGCAGAGCTGAATGAGAATACAGACGCATGGGTCTGCTTGAAGATCCCCACGACAGTAAAACACGCATGACCACATGAGCCGACGACCGTAAAGATCAGGTAAGAAAGCGCTGGCGGAATTACGTGATGTTCTGCTCTTTTTAACTGGGACAGTAACGCATCAACAACCATTTAGGGCCTTAGCTTCAGGGAACAATGTACCGGAAACGACGTTGCGGACAAATATTGTCAGAATATATACACGACCAAGTGCAGCTGGGCACACGCCTGAATACATTAGGTCTGTTGAGGACATTAAAGCCTTCAATAGTTTTCTTTCAATAGACATCTTGGTTAACTGGATTATCCGCTTTCATTGAAAGACTTAAATAACACCCTTGCAGCGTGCCGCCAGAGCACAGCAGCTGGTCCTGATGGGATAACGTATTCGCCGCTAAACAACGTTGGTCCTGTGGCCGCAAATGCTTTCAAAATTTTTCCCTTATGCATGGACAGCAGACTTCCTTCCATCCTCCTGGAAAGTGGCATGAGTGGTGCCAATTCTGAAACCCGGCAAAACACCTTTATCCATACATTCTTTCCGTCCTGTCAGCCTGACTAGCTGTCTCTGTAAACTTAGGAAAAAGATGATCGACGCTAGAATTCAGTGGTAGATGAAATGTACGAATGTGCTTCCAGAAAATATGACAGGCTTCTGCAGGCGCCGGTGCACAATGGATGCCATTCTAGACCTTATCATTTATGCAGATCATGAGAAGAGCTGTGAAAAAATCGTTGTTGCAATACTTCTAGATATAAAACGAGCATTTGACACAACTAGCCACGCTGTGTACTGCACGGTTTAATTCAGTGGAAGCGTTGATTGACGTCAGCATGCCAGTGAAATGCGGAAGAAAACATCTCTCGTCACTGTCTGCTAGAGTTTTGAATTTTGAGGACTGATAACTGCACTTTTGTGCAGCGATTCTCACCATTCTTGTATTCGTTTCCGCAATTATTACTAGACGGGTCCCGATGCTAAGTAAAGCTGTCCCATACGTGTCGTAGGGCCTTGTGGGAGAAGCTGTTTTAAACATTTAGATTTAGATTTCTTTAGTTCTTTTAGGTAAACAGGAAACGGGCACCGTCTGCACTTTAATCATATTTTTGATTTAGGACAGGATAACGTTATTTCGACAAGTCCATGTGTCACAAATTACAACAGTGGTGAAGTTGAGAGTTCTTGCTTTGATTCGGTTCGCAGTGTTTCTAAAGAGTATGGTTGTGAACTAGGATTTACTGCTGAGGTACTCAGCTGGACTTGTCTACAGTTCTTACACCTCAAGCTACTCTGCGACTATAAGCCCTTTTGGTGATTTTACAATCCTTGTGGGAAGAAGGAACAGTTACCATTTGATTCTGCGCACTAATAAAACGTGAAGGGAGATACTGTTACATTTTCCATAGAATCTGCCTTGACGAAGACATGCCCGCACAACATTCCCAGGAGTCCTAATAATGATGCCAGCTGAATATTGGTGGTGGGCTTCCCCTCGTCGGTTGTAAACACGGTCACTAAGCAACTCTTTCAAAAGCTGAAACGTGGAACAAAAAAATGAAGCTGCTTAGGATTCATTGAATTCCAAACTCTAAGAGATACCGCACCTGCATAAACTCTTTCAACATCTAAGAAGGTCGCTGCAATACATAGTAAGCCACTTTTTTGGCGATGGAAAAACTCGCCAGTTGGAGCCCCCGATTTGCAATGGCAAGAGACATGGCTGCCAAAAAACACGAGCAGGCCTTTGTTAGTTCTCCACGGTAGTTGTATACTCCGTTTCTATATCACGCGGAAAAGTGTACGTTGGGCAATCTCTAGCATCGCCGCTGCGGTGGTCTAGCGGCTAAGGTACTCGGCTGCTGACCCGCAGATCGTGGGATCAAATCCCGGCTGCCGCGGCTGCATTTTCGACAGAGGCGAAAATGCTGTAGGCCCATTTGCTCAAATTTGGGTGCAGGTTGCAGAACCCCAATTGGTCGATATTTGCAGAGATTTTCACTATGGCGTCTCTCATAATCTTATGGTGGTTCTGGGACGTTGAAAACAACACATCAATCATCAATTATTCTCTGGCGTTCATCGAACACCGGATCAGCGAGTGCTTTAATGTAAAATTTCAGCGAATCCTATCACAATTTTAAGTTGAAGACAAGAAAAAGCTGATGCTCTTACACGTGAAGCGCGAACTTGACGTGCGAAAATGAGAGCTCCTAAAACTTAGCATAACAACAAGGAGGTAATACTCAATCACTTCAGGGCCAACCACAAAGTTTCACACCAGAAAGGCGTGATCCACGGGCTTTCTAGAGAACAAGCGACGCTCCTTGATGGCTAAGAACTGACTCCACATACTCGCTGGCTTGGTCTTTCAAGACTGGGTGAGGTGCTTCCCCGTTTTGTGTCTTTGGTGGTGACATCGGCGACATCGTACATTTCATCTGGCTGTGTCTGCGTTTTGAGAGGGGAAGAGCAGTGGTGGTACACAGATTGCAAGAAGGCTGTCACAGTCACTGGACATTTGAAGACGACGCTTTTACAGAAGCAACGCCGAGAAGCGCCCACAGCAACGACGAACAGCGTGCAATGGATTACCATGATTTTCCTGCGAAACAGTGGGCGGCGTGACATTTGGCTATGATCTGCTTTTATCGAGGAGGTGCTCAGCCGAAACAACTGCCGGCCATTTAGGCCAGGCTCACCCCGCCTGTTGCAATACCACCACCACCACGCCCGGCAATTTAGAATACGCCTGAATGGCAGCCCAAGGCAGTATGCACAAAAACTTTAGAAAAAAAAGAGGCTCAGTGCGCCGATCTTGTGGCCCATGCTGTGGCGTGTGGGTTTGAAGCGTAGTTTACAGATCCACAGGTTCTCAGAAGAAGCTACAAATCACCTGCAGGTATTTCTTTGGAAGCATACTCTATAGTAAAAATAAGAATCGTAGTGTTAGCGAGCCGTTTGTGAGAAGTACCAAAAGGAAATATATTTTCTCAGGGCAAGATGTCAGTGCGCCCCTAGTTGCTGTTTTTTCTCTGTTTTCGTTTTTGGTTGCTTTGTTGAGTGATGATAGCTAAATCTTTGTTCATGCGCACCTATTTTTTGTTTAGATTAGATCAACAATACTCGTCTCTGTAACTTATTTCATCAGAAACAACTATCTTTTTCTCATTTTTATCATAATTAACGTGCGCGGGTTTACTCTTAAATTGAAAGGGTGCGCACGTGCCGCTCCCCTAGTCCAGCCGTGGAGGTGGCTACCTGTACCTGCTTCTCTTACGACTACTACTAATACTACTACTACATACATAGTGGACGCACAACCCACGGCTTAAGGAGCTTCGCCCACAAAACATCAGTACTATAGCAAAGGTGACTACCCTGCCTGCGAACACCACCATTACCATAATGGCAAACCTATCAGTCCTAATGAGGCTCGCAGAATGCTCTTCTGAATTCTTTAACTCCGACTACTCAGGTGCACAAAGAACACATGCGATTAAAATACTAAACAAACAGAAAACGTCCGAACGAACACACAAAAAACTTACAAGCAATAGTCTTGCTTCTTCACGCTCACTCAAAACTAACTAATGTCATTTTTGCTATTCTAATCTTAGGACCATACTCCGTCACACAGTCCACCATGCTTATCTTTATCTTTGAAGGAAAAATATACATCGCTT